TTAGAGGACGAGAGAGGAGGAATGGCTGCTGGAAGGCTTTAGCTCTGGAGATTGGTGATGTAATGTTACCTGTGAATGCTGTACCCCAGTGCCCACAGAAGAGGAATACCTCTGTTGCAAGGAATGGGACCGGTTGCAGCCTTAGCTAAATGGTAAACAACAAACATGGCAGCACACCGGTAAGGTAAGACAACACGTTTACATGTCATTTTCTATATGTTCTCTGACATTTATCCTAACGATATGAGGCGGTCTTTGTGGAAAAAAAGCTTGTTTAGTGGACTAACTTTGTACTTGAAAGGATGCCCGTTCACTTACGTTTTAACAGGTCTGACGCTACGGCTGTATCTAGGCTAACAGCTAACATGCTAACTATTATTTCTATGTCACTAGTCACTTGAAACAAATTTAGGACGATAGGAGACGGGTTGAAATAAACCGAAATTTCCCTTTAAGCCAATAAACGGCATATTTCTGTCCGCCTTTCCAGGACCTCTGCCGTGATGATTGCTGGTCTTGGCCCAGCATGGGAGGCGGAGGGCTTGCGCTCGCCCTCGCCTGCCTGGCTCGTTGGGACTGCTCTGGGGAGGAGACCTGGGCGCCATGCCGCTGGTGCCTGGCTCTGAAACAGCATTTAAATGAAACAATAAAAATGTGTACCTGTGTAACATGTGTAAGCCTATTTATTTGGACAACAGTGTACTGTCAGGGTTAAATTAACTGTAATGCAAGCAAAAGGAGGGCTGTTATTTACCATTCTGCTCCGGCTCCGACGCAAGTGTGTCTGTGTCTCCACCACCACCACTTATGCCAGAGATAGATTCTGACCCAATTAGTGAGGGTATTCTTTCCTTGGTCCCCATCAGGGTCAGGCTGGGATCTAGTTGGCCTCCTCCAGTCTGCGTGCTGCTGTGGCTAAGGGCAGCAACACACTTTTTTGTTGCCAGCTTTAAGTCTGACCACTTTTTCTTGACCTAAACGTAAAGAACTGTGACTTGATCAACTACCAGGCATAGGCTATTAGGCTATGGATGAATAAAAGATAAAAATTTTTTATTATCATCATCATTTGGCATAGGCTACCTATTGAGAATTTTATTCAAACCCCAGCCAGAGTACGTTTGTCAACGGCGACGCTGTTGACTGCCTCCATGATCTTCTTCCAGACAGCGTTTTTATGGGCTCCTTTAATGCCAGTTTTTAAACTTCCAAAAAACACATCTTTATTTACCTCCACCTCAGACATGAGGGTGTCGATTTCCAGCCCAGAAAAGTTTCTCTTCTTAGCCATATTTCTCCTCTCCATGTTGTGACCTCAAAGGGCGAGGCCTCTGAACCACGAATATTTAAGGGCGTAATATGCTAATGACGATCGATTTCAGCCGCCGCATTTATCAAAGCCTGATCATTCATACGCTGGGACTGGACAGATACGAACGTTTCATAAATCACACGTTTGTCCTATTGTAAGATGAATCCTGCGCTCAGATCTGCACCCGTTTCCATGCAAGATTGATAAATGAGGGCCACTGTTATCTGATCTGATCTTGTTTTATAACAGTGTTTTAATGTTGGCTTTGTTGTTATATATCCACACTTAAAACAATTAAAAAACAGAGGCCAAACACTGCATTGGTATGAGTAGAAATTTAGAAGTTTTACGTTATTCATTGCAAACTAAATCTAAGCTTAGCAGCACCCTGCATTGATAAGCAGTGTGTTAAGGTCACAGCCTATCAATGATTTGCAGACTTCACAGACCTGCATTCTGAAGAACCAGTTGACACCATGCATCAGGTACGTTGTCTTAAAAAAGTATTTTTGCCTATTTAACATGTTTTCACTTCTATTTCAAAAGACACTATCACATTATGGAATAAAACTAGGTCTGCATTTTGACAACTTTATTTTTATAATAGAGTTTATACGTGGAAATGTATCTTTACATAGAATGCATTTTTAAAAGAATTATTATCAGTCATTTCAAAGTTAATTACATTTTAAGTTATTATTTATTTGAAAAACAAGCCTGCTAGGTTGACACCAGACTGTCAGATACTGAGTCTTTATCATTGTACATGAATTATTACAGACGTGGACTTTGTTCTAACTGTTCTAGTGTAGGGTAAAATATGTAATGATTTTGACAGCATGAGAACATGTTTTAGCTTCATTAAGGAATGATCTATGCCTCACCAAAACTGAACATACAGGCTTATACAATTCCAAAACTCTCTTTCAGTCAATTTTGACAAAATAGAAAGTATAACTACATGAACATGTTTTAGTTAAAAAGAGGACACTGTAAGTGAGGTGTTCCCATAGCTGTATGACATTGTTTAAATTAACACAAAGAAAATAATATGATTTGATACTATATCATATATATCATATATAATATAGCATGTATAAATGACATAAGTCCACAAATGTGCCTACTTCATAAATTCCAATGGAGAATCACATGGTAAAATTAGCCACTAAATAAGGAAAATATATTCAAATTTGATGTCTGTTCAGTAATGAGTTTATATTTGACTGGACTACCCATTTTGCTTTAACACCTGTTCAAAAGTATCTTATAGTAATGGTTTCCATGTATCATGGTCTCTTCATTTTCAGAGCTGCAGGATGCTTCCCCAGGTGGCTGTACCAGCCCATCAGTCTCCGCTCAGTACCTTAAGTGTTTTGGCTGTCCTTCTTTCCATAGCACACTCTGGTGGAGGTAACTTACACACAAACATAATTATATAAGGTCACAGTAAGGCTTTGGATGAAATAACAAATAACATAACAACTTCTCTTTCATATTTTGTCAGTGAAAATTAGTCATCTAGGTCATGGTAATCATAAGTGCTAATTGTAGGCAAGTGGACTTGCTTGGGTTTCTTGAAGACATTTTGCCTCTCATCCAAGAAGCTTCTTCAGTTCTAAATGACTGATATGAAGTTGCAGGCTTTAAACCCTGTGTGGGTGGGAACCCTTGCAGAGTCTTAGGGGTTGACCCTAGGGGCCTTGCTTCTGTTGCCCTTTCCAAGTGTCAAAGAAAAAAAGGACTAAATGAATACAGAAAGAAAGAAAGAAAGAAAAAGAAAGAAAGAAAGAAAGAGGTTTTGGGGCTTTGGTCTTTTTAGTTAATAAAACAGTGAAAAAAATAATTAATAGGTTAAAGGTTAAAGCACATTGGTCATAGCCAAAAAAAGCATATACGCTTGATAAACCTTGTGAGAGAGGCAGCTATCACACTTAAAACAAAACATCAGCTTTCATTGCGAATAGATCTTTAAGTTGGAATCACACTTCTCTGTACTGCACATAAAAAAACACACATGGGTGGTGTTCAGGACACTTTTGTGTGTGTATTTCTATATACTTGTACTGCCTACAGTACATGGTCACTGGTGAGCAGTGTCATATTAAGCAAAGCACAATTGAATCAGAAATGGTAAACAAATCTGTACACACTCCGAGGAAACGTAAAAGATTGTGGATTTAGCTGATAACTTAATGGATGAAGCAATCAGATTGCTTAAAAACTAGGTCTGTACTTTGCCTTGTTGAGATTTGGGAGGTGTATATGTTGGGTTGCCCATGACACCATTGTCTACATAGGTTCGCAAAGACATTCATGTGTTCCTCTGCTTTATGCAGCTGAATTAACGTAGCTAGTTCTCATTGCAAGGACAGCTATTAAACACATTTTTTTTCCCCCTTCCAGGTCAGTCTCAGTTAATCGGCCCACCTCAGCCAATAGTGGTAACGGTTGGCAAAGACATCATTTTACCATGTCACCTGGAACCTGCAGTGGATGTTGCTGCCAAGACTTTGGAGTGGACGAGACCTGACCTGAACCCCAGATTTGTCTTTGTGCGGCGTGCTGGTCAGGACTTCATAGATACTAAACATCCATCCTACAAAGGAAGAACATCTCTGTTCACTGATAAACTGAAGCGAGGAAACATTTCACTGAAACTCTCTGATGTGAGACCTTCTGATGCAGGAAGATACAGATGCTTCATTCCAGATCTGAAAACAGACTCTTTTGTTGAGCTTGTCGTTGGTAAGTAGATACATATTGTATGTGTACATAGTGCACTTTGGTCTGCATCCAGTGAAGATTTTTATTAACAAAATTTTTAGCCAATGATGTTGGTAGCTGAGGAATATAAGCAGGGTCTTCAAACATTGATGCAAATGTGGGACAAAAGCTTTTTAGGAAAACTGTTTGGTTGGAGATGTTCTGGGAGGAAACATTCTACCAGTTGGTTATTCTTTCATAATAATAATAATAATAATAACAATAATAATAATACATTGGATTCACATAGGGCTTTTGAGGATACTCACAGACACTTTACAAAGAGCAACAACAGTAATAAAAAAAAAAAAAAAAATCCACACGGAGGTAGGGTGGGCAAAGTACACTGAATTTAGAGGTTGTAAGCAGTTCTTAACAGATGCGTTTTGAGGGTTTTCTTGAAGGTGGAGCGTGAGGGGGAGTCTCTAATGTTTTTAGGCAGTGAGTTCCAGAGGGTGGGAGCAGCAATGGAAAAGGCCCTGCAGGTGACTGTTGCAGGAGTCTAGTCTGGAAGTGATTAATGCGTGGATGAGGGTCTGTGCAGCTGAAAAGAGGGATGGATGAAGCAGGGCGACGCATGTGAGATGGAAGAGGGCTGCTTTGGTGATGTGTTTGATGTGTTGGTGAAAAGAGAGGGTTTGATCAAAGATGACACCAACGGAATAATATCCAAATCTTTCACCCTAAACAGAGGTGCCAGACAAGGATGCCCATTATCACCACTACTTTTTGCATTGTTTATAGAACCACTCGCCTCCGCCATTTGACAGAACAATAGCATTTCAGGTATTCAAACCATTTCACATTGCCACAAAATCAGTTTATGTGCAGATGATATCCTACTATATCTAACAGCTCCTGCCACCTCCCTTCCATCAGTCCATAAGCTTATCGACAGTTTTGGCAAGGTTTCAGGCTACTCCATAAACTGGACTAAATCTGAGATTCTGCTTCTCACTCATATTGACTGGGATGCTGAGGTTGGGGACTTACCCTATAAACGGGCGACTCAACCCATGAAATACCTCGGAATTCATATCTCAACAAACCCAAAGGACATATTCAAATTTAACTTCACGCCACTACTACATAACATCAAAGAGGACCTGAACCGATGGAATAAACTCCCACTATCCCTAATGGGCCGCATTTCATCTGTTAAACTGTAATCTCAACAGTGACCATGCCAGCCGGCGGAACTGCGGCGCTTCCAATGTTGATTCATTCATTCAATCGCGTGTTCAGTGTGTGTGTGTGTGTGTGTGTGTGTGTTAGTACATTACAGAGGAGGAGCATCAATTAAAAAAGACCAAAAGTTAATCTAATTTATTATTGTAGAATGTATTTAGCAAATCACCACTTTCAACTGGAGACACAGCGCAGCAGCAAAAAAAAAAAAAAAAAGGCATCATAAAAAGCCGACAAATAGTGTTAATTAATTGACATGAGACATCGGAGAGGTTGTCAGTCCTATTTTATAGTCTATAATATTTTTTTATTTTATCATAACTTCTCAGAAATTAGGCCTACTCAAAAATGCATTTTTATGTGCCTCTAAGCACATGGGCAGCATAAACATTGAAGTAACATAACGGTCTGGCAGACCGTTGCTGCGCTTGGAGGGGCGCTGTAGTCTTGGCGGTCCTAGTGATATAGCGTTCCTTTGTGAGACAGTCACGTTTCTTTGCTGTAGCTCATTTAAGTGTTTATTGGCCTCATCTACCAACACCTCTAATTCCATAGGGTCGAATTTCACTTTGAGCTTTCTCTCCAAACTCACCATGCTGCAAACCATAAAACACGCAAAACCCTCATATAAATAGGGTGTCTCCAACACGTTTGCACCTGGTGTCATTTGCGCAAGCAAGTAAATCACCCGCAAAGCGCGGTTCAGCCCCACACGCAGAATTCTAGATTGCGCAGGCAAATTAGTACACGCAAATTGGGATATTAGTAGATCCGGCCCTATGTGTTGATCACTTGTTTTGTGCTACATGTTCCAATGTAACTCACAAAAAAAAATCACCCATAAAAAATTATAGAAAATAACCCACTGAACAGCTAAAAGCCCATTGGTGTTATACTAATCCTACACCCTCAAATTTGATAATAAGATAGTGTTCTTGACTCAAGACACTGATATCTCAAGCTTGGCAAAACAACACAATTGCCAGAAATAACAAAAAAAAAAAAAAAATCCTCGATAGGGAATCCTAGGACTAGTTATAGTTGCTAAGCTATGACTGGACAATCTCTGCTTGGGAAGGGGTTTAGAAAATGGTCAGTGGATATACTAAAAGTCTAACATACTTGCAATGTTAATCACAACATGCTGATGTTCAGCAGGTACATTTTCCATGCTGTCATCATCAAAGTTGTTAGCATGCTAACATTTGCTAATTAGCAACGCAAAGCACAGCTGAGGCTCAGGGCAATGTTAGTAGTTTTGAAGGCATTTGGTCATAAACACGATGTTGTACATTTACTTTTTTTAAAAAAATTAATGATATAGATTGTTTTACTGAATACTTTTTTCCCCTTTTGCTCAGCATCAGATGCTGTATCCTTGCCCATACTCACTTTAGCAGGGATTGATAAAGCCACCAGTGGAGTGGTGTTACAGTGTGAGTCTGCAGGCTGGTATCCAGAGCCTGAGGTGTTGTGGCTGGACGGTGAGGGAAAGCTCCTCTCTGCTGGACCTACAGAGACAGTCAGAGGTCCTGATGAACTCTATACTGTCAGCAGCAGAGTGACTGTGGAGAAGAGACACAGCAACAGCTTCACCTGTAGAGTCCAGCAGAGGAACATCAACCAGACCAGAGAGACATATATCTATATCTCAGGTAAAAATGTTAAGGTTTTATGGTGAAATCGTTGTTTTAGTTTTCAATAGCTAGGCTCCAATTTTATCTAAACTCTCTGTTCTTTCAGATGATTTCTTTCAGATTCAGTCCAGCTCTGCTGCTCCAGTTGTTACTGGTTTGGCTTTTAGTTTGGCTGTTTGCATCCTGCTTCTGTTTGCAGTTGTGTGTAAAGGGAAACTAAACAAAATCAGTAAGTCACAAATTAATTTCAGAGCTTTGTAAATGTCAAGTTATTCTGACTTTTTTAGGGGAAGTAATGATTAAAATTGTGTTTTGAGGATTGAATCTGATTTGATCAAAATGTTAGTATTTCACAGGTTATGGTATCGATAAAAATGTGGTGGAATGTTTACTTTAATTTTCACTGAAATTATTATTTTTTTTTGTCTTAATTTTATAAACCATTTTATACATTGTTTTACTAAAATGTTGGATATGCTGAAATAATTTCCTAAAATAACATCAAATGTCTTTTGTATTTTCATTGTACTTTTTTGTTTTTTATACAGAGACCAAGAAAAGCCATAGGGATGAAACCAATACAGGAGAAAGGAAGAACCACCTTGAAACTAACAGAACAGAAGATCAGTTTGGCACTAAAAAAGAACTGAAGCCTTTGGAGGGAAAGAGGCAAAAAAGGAGCAAACATGTAAGGGGAGAAACAGGGCATTACTTTCAGTGTAGAGATGGAAACAAGAGCAGGAAAAGTGAAGTCTGATCTGAGCAAGAAGGAAAGAAAATGTTACATCAAGAGACAAGAAATTCGAAGGACTAAAAGAGCAGCTATGATAGAGAGCTTTTGGTGTTGAGAAGTCTTGAAATGACAGCAATGGGAGGACTGATTCACTAAAACCAGTATAAACCACTGCAGACCTAAAATGTATCAATCTCTAAATCTTTTGAATAATTCTGTTAAAAATTCATATACAAACATTTCTATACATTATCAATCAATCAATCAATTTTATTTATAAAACCCAATATCACATATATCAGGGGGCGGCAGTAGCTCAGTCCATAGGGACTTGGGTTGGGAACCGGAGGGTCGCCTGTTCAAGTCCCCGTCCGGACCAAAATATGGAGCATAGACTGGTAGCTGGAGAGGTGCCAGTTCACCTCCTGGGCACTGCCGAGGTGCCCCTGAGCAAGGCACCGAACCCCCCAACCGCTCGGAGCGCCTGTCATGGGCAGCCCACTCTGACATCTCTCCACTTAGTGCATGTATAGGTCCAGTTTGTGCATGTGTGTGTTCGGACCTGTGTGTAATTGACAACAGAGTGAAAAAATTGAATTTCCCCTCGGGGATTAATAAAGTATATAAATCACAAATCACAATTTGCCTCACAGGGCTTTACAGCATACAACATCCCTCTGTCCTTTGGACCCTCACAGCTGATCAGGAAAAACTCCCCAAAAAACCCCTTTAACGGGGAAAAAATGGAAGAAACCTCAGGAAGAGCAACTGAGGAGGGATCCCTCTTCCAGGACGGACAGACGTGCAATAGATGTCGTACAGAACAGATCAGCATGATAAATTAACAGTAATCCATATGACACAATGAGACAGAAGGAGAGACAGAGAGAGAGAGAGAGATGCAGGACAGACAGTAATGACAGTAGCTTACAACAACATTAATGAAATTAATAATATTATAATTAACATTACAGGCCATTGTGGTACAATATGTTGAAAGTAAATATTAATATCTGATAGTATACATATGTGACAATAATCATATGTGTATAATAACAGTAGAAGTATGACTAATGATAACAGCAGCAGCAGGAGGCATCTGGCAGGACCACGACAGCAGCACAACCACAAACGTCACGCTGTCCAGGCACCGCTGCAATATGAGTTAATCTGAGAGACAGTGGAGCACAAAGGCTCCGGAGAAGAAGCCGAGTTAGTGACATAGAGTATGGCCGAGTTAGCAAGATGCAGTAACAGGAGAGAGAGAGAGAAGAGAGAGAAGGTGCCCGGTGTATTATAGGGGGGTCCTCCGGCAGACTAGGCCTAAGTCAGCCTAACTAGGGGCTGGTACAGGGCAAGCCTGAGCCAGCCCTAACTATAAGCTTTATCAAAGAGGAAAGTCTTAAGTCTAGTGTTAAATGTGGAGACGGTGTCTGCCTCCCGGACCGTAACAGGAAGATGATTCCACAGGAGAGGAGCCTGATAGCTGAAGGCTCTGGCTCCTGATCTACTTTTGGAGACTTTAGGGACCACGAGTAACCCTGCATTCTCAGAGAGTTCTGGTGGGATAATATGGCACTATGAGCTCTCTAAGATATGACGGAGCTTGACCATTTAGAGCTTTATAAGTTAACAGTAGGATTTTAAATTCAATTCTAGATTTTACAGGGAGCCAGTGCAGAGAAGCTAAAACAGGAGAAATATGATCTTGTTTCTTAGTTCCTGTTAGTACATGTGCTGCTGCATTCTGAATTAGCTGGAGAGTTTTTAAGGACTTACTAGAGCTACCTGATAATAGAGAGTTACAGTAATCCAGCCTTGAGGTAACAAAAGCGTGGACCAAGACAATGAATATAAAGGGAAACTTTGCTGATATTGAACCAGCTGTGTGGCATCGCAGTGTGTGCAGATGAACAGTGTTTTGATCTGAGCCGGCCCAGTGCTATGCTATGACTGGCTGGTCTGTGTCCAGGGGCGGGACTTAGCAGAGGGTCTTTTGCAGTGACATTCAAGTACTGTTGACATCAGACTTGAGGCAAGCTTATTTTTTACGTCATTGTTTGGTGTCTTCATGAGCCTGCCCTGATAAAAATCACATCATGTCTCTGTTCGTCTCTCATCTCTCTGACATTCAGGAGGAGCAGCAGAGGAGGGAGGAGGCAGAGAGGGAGGTTCAGACCCTGAAAGAGGAGCTGGAGACCAAGAGGACTGAGGTTCATCTTTATATTTTATACACTGATTTCAGTTTGAAGTCACATTCTTTATGTCATCTATAGTGTAAAAACAATAAAACTTTAAGGAGATAAATGTACAAAATGAAGTCATTCCAAGACTAGGCCGAGAGGATTAAACCAAGTCCAGACTGAGTCCAGGTTGATTAAAGTCTGTCTGGACATCAAAAGCAAACTCAATGCCACATTTACAAATATGACGACAAGACAATGCTGATGAATTCCTGTTAATCACTTTACTACAGAAGCTGTAACTGCTGCCTGTACTTCTCTTGTAGTAAAAATACACAATACTAAATCTTCATGATTCTCTTTTTCCCCCTTCCTCTTCTTTCTCCTCCCAGTTTGAAAGTAAACTAGCTGAAGTCCAGCAACAACTGCAGAGCCTGAGGGAGGAGCTGGAGACCAAGAACAGGGAGGTTCGACACTTTAAATTAATCCTAATCTATTTTACTTTACCTTAGTTTTAACATCCAGTTCACCCACATTTCCTAAGGCATGTGTTTCCTAATGCAGTGTTCTTCAGGGAAATGTGTAAAACTCTGAGAGGGTTCAATGCAAAGCTCTTAGACATCAATTTTGACCTCTAAAATTGTTTGTTGAAGTAAAGCAGGACCCAGATCTCAAGTATTTTTGAGTCTGATTTATGTGTTTTAATGTTGTATATGTACTCACATGCCTTGATAAAGACCATATCTCTCTGTCTCCTTCATACCAGTTGGAAGAAAGCAAAGCTGCCCTGTCCAAGTCTTTGGTAAGTAATCATAGCATAAATCACATAATGTGCTCGGATGTGTCCTGTTCAAAGCAAAAACTCAGCATAGCAAAGTAATACTATTATTTTACTGTAACCATTTGTGTATCAGGATGGCGATATGTGTTTGAACATTCACATAAACCCTCCAGTAGGTGATCGTGAAACAGATCAAATAATGACACAAGTTTTACACTTAAGCATCAAACAAGAAAACTACAGATTTTTAACTTGCATGAATGTCCAACACATTTTCACTCCATTACCATCACATGCTGATGTTTGGTCATGGAGTTTTCACATCCACATATGACGTGCAAGGTACCCTGGGTGTGTTGGTTGTTGACAGTCTGGGTTGCTGATTCAACTTCAGCCTGTTACATGTATTATCTGTTTTCAACGTACACTTCTGTTTTCACAGGAAATGTACAGTTTAATGAGAGATAAAAAGATAAATAAAAACAGATACTGGCTGCACTGATTTTGTGTTGAAGCCGAGCTCTTCAAGCCTTTTACCACCCATGGGGCTCTATTTTAATCACAAAAGCACTACCACATGTATAAAGCAGTAGGTCTTAGGAGTATAAACTGTCCAGGTGTCTCTATGTGCACCTGCTATTTTGTTCATGTAGGTGCAGCAGTGCAAAGTGCAAAGGGTTGGATAAAGTGGAACATAGAAGGGGGGGGGGTGATGAATGATAAATACACTCTGAGCCAGTCACATCACTGGTATCATCGCTCAGAAAGAGCAGAGCCAATCACAGTAAATGCTTTATTTTTTGCATGGGTTAACAAGGTCCGCGTCAGCAGTTGGAGAACCTGGGAAGCCTGATGAGAGTGGGTCTGGTCCACTGTTGGAGCTGGAGCTGTCCTCAAAGGGAGCAAAGAATGTGTTTAGCTGGTCTGGGAAGGAGGGGACATTTGAGGTGGGGTTGCTGTTGCTCTCTTTGTAATCAGTAACTTTCCTTACACCTTGCCACATGGTACAGGGGTTGTTTTCTGTCCTCAATGTGTTGTTTGTATTCCGGCTTTGCAAATGTAATGACTCTGTGGAGGTTGGTACAAAAAAAAAAGGACTATGGTGGTATAGTGCGTAATGTCTGGGTGTTCAAATAGCTCCCATCTGGTGTCCTCAGAACAATCCCGGAGGGCTGAAGAGGCTTCTGCAGTGCAGATCGGGCGTCTGTTTTGTTGTTTGCAGATGGCATCATGGTGGACATAGACAGCAGTAATAAAGACTGCTGAGATTTCTCAGGACCGATAAAAAGGTCATTTCAGTATTAAAAACTCCACATCCTGATAACAATGTCTCTCGATGACAGTATTGTCTGTGCACCAACTATTGTGAATGTATGCACACCAGGGACGATTGCTCTGAGACAACAAGGGAGGCTGAACTTCCCCTAAAATTTCATAGAAGAAATGGTCAAATATGCACTATTGAATTTACATTAAAATAAGAATTTACATTGCATTAAACGTGCGCTAGGATGCGTTTCATATCATGACTATGATGTTCAAACGTCAGCTGTTTATCACCAGTTTTCAAACGCGACCTCCCTGTCATACATTCTCGTGTCAGCACGGTGGACGCGGAGCCTCCAAGCATTCCTATGAGACAGCGCTGAGCAGGTTTTTTCATGCAGCAAAGCGAGACGGTCATTGGCTAAATGCGACAAAATCGTCACTTCCAGGGAGGCTCAGCTTCCCTGGGACCTGATGGAGTGGTGAGCGGAGAGGATGCTCGGTGTATGCATGATGATTGGAGGAACTGTCTAAAAGGCTGAACCCCTTTGTGATTGACAGCACTTTGGAAATACACACCAGCATTGTTGCATTTCGAGCTCAGTCCCATGCGGATATTTGCGAGTTGAGTCTCCTGACAGAGTGCCGTCCAGAGTTCCTTATTTCCATAAGCCATATAGCTCATTTTCAC